TCCTTAAAACAGCGGAAATCGCCAGTCGTCTTCCGGTGATATCAGCCAACGAATCTTTTTATCATGCACTATCCTATCAGATAAAAATCTACACAGCAATAAAAGAGAAGTGCACCCGATTGAGAGAGCATGGCGATTTCAAGTAGCGAATTGAGCTCTGCCTTTGATTCATAATCACAAGTCAGGATAACATCACAGGTGTCAAACTCAACACTTTGTATAGTGTGGTGGTGTTACTAGTTACTTAAGTAAGTAGGGTGATGTCAATCAACTTTTTGTGATTGAGTATGTTAGTGTTGAGGAAGAAATATAGTTTTGGAGAATGTATGAAGACCATGATGGTGTGGCCTTTTGTGTGGTCACAGTCTCTTTTCGTTGTATAGAAGTTGTTTGACCTTGTTTTCACAACTTGGTCATATTGGTATGAAGACCTAGAGTAATGCACTTAGTCCGAAGTCCTTTGTATGCATGATAATTTCCCGAGTCCGACCATAGACGTGGTACATTCCCAGAGGTTTCGCAGGCATCGTTGTCAGAATCGTCAGTGAGCATTGCCAGTCTTAGCATCACACTACAACTCACTTGTCTCTTTGACTAGTTGTAGTGTGGTGCTAAGACTGGCAATGCTCACTAACTGTGTCGGCGAAATGTCTGGGAATGTACCACCTCCACTGTCCCACTCTGGAAATTATGATGCCTACAATGGACTCCGGACTAGGTGCGTTCCTCTAAGCTTTCGTATCAATATGACCAAGTTGCGAAAACAAGGTCGAACAACTTCAATAGCTTTGGAGGTTTAAACGCTGGAAGTGGATGAATTGTCATTAATTGTAACGTATAAAGGCACACATCAGTATAAGAGTAATATGTAAGAGCAATAAGAGAAACTATAAGATAAAACCACGGCAATCATATTTGCTTACCAGCAAGTGGGGACGTAGACAGCAGCCAGCGGCATTCCCCTTATGCCGGCGATCCATTCGAGTCTAGGTACAAGTCGGCCACTGTCCAAGTCGGTAAGCTCGCTCGCCAACAAATTTTCCTCTCCACTATCTGAATCACAGCAGCCTAGAGGGCTTAAGCCCCAGTAAGAGTTAGGAAAAGCCTTAAAATAAGCCTTATGTGACCGTAATGCAGGTTTTACCGCAGGCCCCCGTAGCGCACCCCCAGCCGGCCGGCTCACACTATTTACACCAAAACTGGTGGCAATTGTAGCGTCTAGCTCATTCCTTACCACATCATCTTCGCCCTCTTCATCCTCCTTATCAACGTTAAGATTATCACAACCAACTGAAATAATCCGTTGCTTGGTCATTTGAAATAACTCATGTTCATCTGTCGTCTCTTCAGCCTCACTACTCTCATCCCCGTCCCTGGTTATGACCGCTTCAAGCCACACGAGGCCAATCCGGCCGTCGGATAGTCCGAAAACTAGCAGGGCTTTGCAAAGTCCGGAAGATCCCGAGTTCTGTTGCCTGTCTTCAGAATGAGCCTGCCAAGTGCTGATTGTCGGATCTGGTTGAAAAGATCCTGACTGCCTTTCATGCTGCTGAGGCTGCTGATAATAGACAGATTTTGTGACCAGGCTGATGAGAAAGAGCCAGTCTGAGCGGAGACAGGGCTCAAAAAAGGGTATAGTCGAAAGCGTGTAGATCAAGATCAGCTCAGAAGGACTATAAAAGGCGAAAAGATAGAATAACACAGTGTAATAATACCTAGAAAATAGATTTATATTTCTATAATGTATGTTAACGCATGGAACTCAACAATAAAAAAACACTGGAGACAGCGAAGTATAGGCAACATATGTAGGATACTAAAAAAATAAAGGAAGAATAAAGGGGTGTTTAAAGAGCAATAAGTAAAGGACTATTTGTCTTGTATGAAATCGGTGCCCATAGGTTCTGATTTGTAATTTTAATTTGTTTCTATGACCATATAAACACTTAGTAAAAGGCTCCTGAAACATAAAATATGTGAAGGGGAGCAATTATTTAGCAAGGAAGAACTTCCCAAACCACGAGGAAGAGAGACAACTAATAATTAGGAGGACAAGTGCATTTTCGTGAGAATTTGATTGAAAATAAAATAAAAACTGAGAGAGGACATCAGCGTCGAAAAAATAGCCGTTGCCTTCAGTGGCCAGTGGCTTAGATGAAGCCGGTCTTAAGACTGAGCAGCGGAGAACTTCGTAGATAATTCTGTTATCAAAAGCAATACGTACTTAACATTTGTAGATTATTAAATTTTTGAATCACTGCTAAGGCTTTTTAATTGTTGAAACCTTCGAAGCAAATTAGATAAAATCTAATATGACTTCAAATTATGATGGTTTATATGTATAGAGTAAGGAAAAAGCAGGCTTCTCTTTGTTTACGCTCAAGGAGTGGAACGTTAACAACCCAATTTTGTATTTTTAAAGCCAACAAATTCTCATGATATCGTGATCATGCTCGTTAACTTAACAAAAGGACCTCGATAAAAGCACGGCATATTTTTATAGATGTCATGGTTTGTAGGCTTAGTGCGGACAGATTAACATAGAAGTGGTAAAAATAATTGACTGTGGAAAATAGATAGTCATTAAAAAGCTATAAAACTCCAAGAGGAAATTTTTCTCGTCTATAAGGCTCTACAAAATGCGGAATCAATTTAAGTGCCATTACGTCAAAGGATATGTTTCATATTGTTGAAACACAAAAGAACGATTCGGGACATTATGCACTCTCCTTAAGAGGAGAGATTAAGAAAGATAAGCTGAAAGATTTAGTGATAAAGTTTTAGGATTTCAATTTCCATACTTGGTTTTAAGCACAAAAAATCATCTTCACTCAAATTAACTCAGTTTATTAGGTCAGAAGTGAGATTAATTATAATGCATCGAAATCCCAAATGAACAATTATTTTTTTATATATTACATAGAAGAGTGAAATTAAGTAAGATAAATGGAAAACAACATATTTTCAAATAGGTTTTTCAAATTTAGCCTTATCTGTTGTTACAAGAGCAAATGGTTGCTGATAACAAATTATAGGGAGCTTTGCAAAATAGGGAGGACTATGGGTCAAGACCATCAGGAAAGCTGGTACAAATGTCTAGATTGATTGCCAGTTGAAAATAATCTTCATGATTTAGTGACTGAACCCTCTTCATTGTGAAAAAAATCAACCCAAAGTAAAGCATAAAATAGACCACAGGCTAATATTTGATTACTTACAATAGATCCTCTTATATACCAGCATTATACAGAGAGATTATTCTATAAAAGTGGCAATTAAGAGATCTGTTAGAATTGGTATGAATCAGAGCCTTAAAAGATGCCAAGAAGAGGCGAAATAGTGAAAATTCTATCTTAAGCAGTGAAAAATCCAGGGATGAGACGCAATCTTTAAAAAAAGGATACCACTTCCACAACAGATAAACATTGGGGGCTGGCTGAAGGATAGAATGGCCAAAGGAAATAAACTGATTTTATGGACTCAATAGAATGACAATGTCAAGAGGACTTTGATTAAGATAGGACTTGAATCACAACCAGGTGAGTGAGAGGACATATTTGAAATTGTATTCGATCCATCGTAATGCATAACTTGCTCTTTTTAGTATAACTCTTCATATAATACTGGTTGAGAAAGCCTCAGGATGGTGCATAAATGTCAATCTTTGTCCAGATAGCGAAAGGAAATGAAATATGAAGAGATAGAGCAGCCACAAAGTATATCAAAGGATCATAGGTAATAAAGTGTATGCCAGAGTAATGCAGTTCGAGTTAAAGAGGAAGAAAAGTAGCTACTTGGTAAATAATTCGAAATAGTGTAGACGATACAATTCAAATGAATTAAGGCAAAGGAGACATCTCAGGATGAAAGTGTATGATAGAATTAGTGCATACGTTGTATAATGGGAATGCAGATGTAGTTGAGCATGTTTCCAACTTCATAGTATTAAAATTATGAAAAATATATTTCGGAGCGTAACGGGATGAAAAATGAAGGGTCTATGAAGAGCCCAGAAGGTCGTTGAAAATAGCGTTGACACCACATCATATAAACCCCAAGAAGAGGTTCACATACCTGAATGCATGTAGATAGCCGGCACTCGTGGCGCACCAGACAAGCGTTCCTACTCTCCAACGAAGCTGCTCCGGGTGTCCTCCTCTTGATGCGACCGCCGTTGCAGCAAGCTCACTCGAAGGAGCGGTAAGTTGAAGTTCGGGACTGCTTGCCAACAATTGGGGTGCCCCACCAGCCTGAAACGGGTCACAGAGGCTACTTCCAT